CAAGAAAAGTTAGTTGCTGCCAAGAATAATTGGTTCGTGTGTACAGAAAAGAATGTGCAACGTGCCTTGCTATGACAATGGGCTGCAGGCATATGAAGAATGCCAACACTAAAGAAAGAAGAGTAATTAGTGCAGAGGAAGAAATGAACTCTTGTTCACGTTTGTATCAATAGAAAACACTGAAATCTTTGCCTGTGAGATAACGTCCATCTCCTTAAACAAACACACATGCATTCCCAAGGGAAGATGCCCTTCAGAGATAAAAATCAGACCATATACATTGACAGAAATGTGCAAGGGGGAATGCTGCTCTACAGGCAAAGACACAGATCAGAGCATGCAACAAGTCCTTTTCAGCACTGATATTTCTGTGTCTCTTCTTAAAGAAGTTTTACATTCTCTCTGAACATAAAAAAAAATCATGAAGCCTTTAAGCACATAATTACAGTTGCTGTTCTAGAAGAGAAGGCAAAACATCTTATTTTTATTCTGTATATTAAAAAAAAAAAAAAGGTTGTTTTCTCTCTGACTCATTGCATATTAAGACATATCCATAACTTAAATGAAGTTCCCTCTATTCAGCTCCAAGAGTTTTTTACCCCAAGGTATCGGCCACAGCAGAAAAAGAGTAACTAATGACATTGAACCAGATAAAAAAGTTTGTTTTTTTTTTTTTAAAAACAAACAAACAAACAAACAACAGTTTTTAATACAAAAACAAGACAGAGAAAACTTTCTCTCCATTATAATATGAAGTACGCTTCCTTGGAGTTAAGGGGTTATGAGGTATGCAAATAGTTTCACAGCTTTCACCTATCTCAGCATTCTCCATTATCACAGTATCTGGGCAGACACTTTATTAATCTTCACAACTTCTAAAAAATCTATGCAACCACCATTTTTTCATTTTAGAGTAAGAAAGCTAAATCAAGATGCCCAAGGTCACAGAAGACACCAAGGGCAGAGCCTTGTATGATAAATGAACTTGCTTCTCTGGAGTCCTTGGTAAACATCTCTGTTTTCCAAGCATTCTCTCTATCTGACTTCAGTGCAGTTTGGTGGAGATCAGATTTGCTGCAAAGTTACCACAGCACACACAACAGGGACAAAGAGGAAACTGGAAATGACTGTACATTCTGACTACATTTCCTCTATTTTAAGTATAAAATAAGTATATTAATTAAGTATACTATTTTAAGTATAAAATAGAGGAAAACGGTCTCCAGCTCCCCACTGACAGTTTATTTACAACACTTCCAATACTTATTTAATAGATAAGAAGTGGATGTTAGGCAAACGTCTATAAGTATGGGTCAAAAGTCTCTTATACAGAAGTATAGTATCAGAGAAAATGCTGCACTATCAGAAAATCATTCTCACTATTCCACAGCTTTATAATTAATACAGCTGATTACACTGTAGTTCTATACTACAGGAGTAGTAGATGGGAAGAAACTTGCAAATTAAAAAAGAAAAGGATGTGTACGAATGGAAAAAACTGTTTTCACATCAACCCCAGGATAAGCGGTTTCTCTGTAGACTTCAATCTGTACTGACCAAAGAGAAAGGAGGAGTGCTCTGTATGCTTGCAGCTAAGAGGGATATGCATTCCACTCTTCCAAACTTTTCATTTCTCCTTTCTCCAGTCTCTGGATCAAGTCAGCTCAGCATAGCTAAGAACTATGTGCTCACCAAACAGTGAGGAATAATTTATAGAACCAAAAGAAATTGCTCTAGTAATTGTCCAGATAGTATTGGCTATTAGCACCTTTAAAGTGCTCTTAAACATTAGAAAAAGTGAAATTTCTAACAGGAAGGCACAGAACACAGTCTGAATCTATGGAGTGCATTTCATAGTCCATCTGAAACATTTCTCTCGTTCTTCTCCTCCTACATTGCCACTGAAGGTGAAAATCAGTGCTTGGGCAAACTGTTACTTTCACAGTTGTATTTGTAGCACAGCTCTCGAATTTGCAAATTGGCAGAAATGAACATGTACAGTTTAGGACACTGAACTCTTGCCTTTGGTTTGGTAAATGTCATCAGAATTTCATGGAAATAGAGAATGAGGGGAGCCCTCTCCAGCTACCAGTTAGAGAGGGTTCATGCATGGAGCATGGCTGCAGAAACTTACCATATTTCCCTGTTGCATTGGAGCGAGGGTTAAAAAAGATTAATAATCTTTATATAGTGCTTTACCTAATCAACAAAAAATAATAATAAGGATGGAACCAAACAAAAACTCAGATTTAAAAAACCCTCAGTCTTTGGATCTAGATCTAGTCTTCACACATAGTAGCACAGTCTGAACTAGAACATCGCTACTTTACCTTTTAAGGTAGTTCAGATTTGGATCCAAATCTGTGCCTCAGGCATCTCTAAAAAGTGAGAGGGGTACATGCACAATTTGCAAAATCCCATGTTAATAATTCTTGAACCTCACAACCTGAAATCCAAAAGGCACTTAGCTTTTTCTATACCTGGTATTAGGAAGACTGCTCCTGGAATATGATCTTGAGCTCTGATGTCCTCATTTTAAGACAGATGTCTTTGGTGAGAAACAGTTCACAGGAGATGATACAAAAATAATTTGAAATCTAGAAGCTGTACAGGAAGATTGACAGCTTTAAGAACCTCTCTTCCTATCCAGTTTAGCCAAGAAAAGGTTAAGAAGTGACTTTATCTAAAAGCACCTATATCAAGAGTAGTCTTTTGACAATATTTAGCAGGAAAGGAGATAATGAGATCTAATAGTTTGAAACTGAAGATTGACAAATTCAAACTATAAATAGGCCACTTAAAAAAAAAAGCAGCAAATAGGGAGGATAATTAAGCATTGAAACAACTTATGTAGAGGCCTTATATCCTCTTCATCACTTAAGTCTTTACATGGAGAGAAGAAATCTTTCAGCATAACATGCATAACATGCTCAAACCCTTACTGAACTTAAATGCTACTATAACTCAGGTAATAACAGAAATTATTTTAGAAATGCATAACAGTCCCTCCTGGCGCAGCTATGAAACTGTATACTTTAAACGGTGGTTCTGAATGTGACAATTATTGCATGCTGAGCTAAAAAACACTATACTGACATGCACCATAACTAGTAAGACTATGTAAGCGTGCTTCACATTGTTTATTATCTGACACACTGACTTTGTGGAAGCATATTCCACAGATACTTAATGATTAATCTTCTATGTTTTCACACTATAGCATATCAGACTGGTGTGGAAGTATTAATAGGATGAAAGCCTCCTCGGAAGTTTAAAAATATACCAATCAAAACAAAAATAAATAAAAAAAATGAGGCAAAAGTTGAATCACACCTAAAATAGCAGATAAACAAGCTCTGACTGAAAGAAAACCTTTTAAACTTCACACTTTACCTAGCATGCCGGCTAGCTGATGGGAAGGGAGCTGGTAGTAAACACATTGAGTGCCCCACCTCTTTCACTAGCAAGCGTCTCCGCCTTCTTGTCTTGTGCATCTGCTAAACCCAGTTCGGAAGGCAATAATTAATTTGAAAGCCAGCCATGATCCTAGGTTTGGAAAGGGCAGTGACTCCCAATGAAGAACTAAATAGCACCAACTAATGGGATGAAAGGGAAAAAAAAAATCTCAGGGGCTAAAAGTGGAGAGAAGCACTGCTTCCGTGTCTGATTTTTTCCTCTAAATTTTTGACATAATCTTTAAAATGCACTCTAAGTGCCACAGCAATTCCTTCCTGGACTGGGGAAAGAGGCCAGCAGCCACATGCACAGGCAGGCATTCTCTGGGAGCTTTGGAATAGTGGCAGAGGCCAGAGCCAGGCAGAAAGGCTGCGGTGCCAGCTCGCATTCCTGCGCATCAGAAGTACAACCTGGGCTATGCTGCAGCACAGGCAGAAGGGAGCAAGAGGCGACAGCAGGCAAAATCACAACTGTGCAGAAAACAGCATGGGCAAGGAGTCATCCTGGGGCAGTGCAACTCACTGGCCCACAAGTGAGAGAGCACAGGATTACTGAAGTGCTGGGAGAACAGCTTGCATCCAGAAAAGGAGTGTGCCTGAAGATTGCTGAGGACAGGAATGAGAACATCTCGTGATAAACATGGATATATATATTTTTAAATAGAAAGACTACCTCAAAGACCATTTCCTTTTCTAAAATTCCAAAGACGTCTGTGGGATAGCAACACACAGATAGCTTGCTACTGGCCTTGTTGCTGCTTGTTGTTCAATTGCCCCAGGAATGTGACACCTGAAAAAAGTTTTCTTAAAACCTCTCGATTTACATCACAACTATTTCCTCTCTAAAGAGGAAAATTCCACACTTCCTCATCTCCACCCTACTTCTGTAATTCACCTCTCACTGGCCAACAGCCCTTGGCCTTTCCTATTCCTCAAACATTAAATCATTTCAGTAAGGAAGTGCCTGGCTCTTGCCTCGCCACCAGCTCCAGCTTTTGTTCCAAAGTCAGGGATGTGTCTTTCCTCATTCGCAGCATCCTTTTGTGCACAACTAGGCCCTTTCTTCCTCCTTCCCCACTGCTTCTGTCAGTGCAGCAGTAGTGTGTCTGGGCACCAGGAATGTTTACTACTGAGACCCATAACAGCCTAAAAATACACTTGTCACAGTTTGTGAAACTATGACCTCGTGCCACAGCACATCACTGAGCAACTCCTACTACGTGGACAGATGCACAGTGCTTCCCATCAAAATAAAACCTCCATGTTTTTCCCTGTCATGAGAAATCAGCCCCATCTTTGATGAGAAGTGGTGGGGGGCAGATGACAGGAAATAACATTTGCGCTGTAATTGAGTGATTTCCATTGTTTAAAAATAGAGAGAATCAAACTAGCAAAAGCTTTAAAAAAAAAAAAAAAAAAAAAAAAAAAAAGACTAAAGCCAACGGCTTCCCCACTTCTCTTCCATGAAAATAAATAAAACCAACCCTTCACCCTGCCCCACACCCTCCTCAGTTGAAGGAAGCATGCCTCCACGCTGACACTCACGCAGGTGTGCTGGCAGTCTGATCGTGTCTTCCTCCATCCTGATCGCTCGAGGCACTGGGACATGTAGTGGTGTCGAGGTGGTGTGATTTGGTACCGGGCTCGCTGGAGGTGTGTAGGAAATTCTTTCCTGCTGTTAAAAAGAAAGCAGGGTGGGGGGGGTAGAAAAAAAGAGAGGACAACGTAAACTTTGGAACAGAGGTGTGAAACCGAGCCAGGGGTTGGGGGAAGCAGGAGGAAGGATAAAGGGGTATGTGTGGTGGAGCCAAACGGCACCAGGGGTCACGGCTGGACCACGGCCTGCTCCGAGCCTGCAGCCAGAGACTGAGCAGCTTTTACAGCGACAGTTATAATTTTCAGGAGGCCCAAGAAGTTTCCAAGGGTTTTCTCAGAAATTTGCTCAGGGAGGAAAGGGAAGTGACACAGAAGTGGGGAGCCTGAGTGGGTTTTATGTCAGTGAAAATCTGATAGCAACTACATTGTATGTGCAGGCGTACCACTACAGAAAGCACTAAAAACACTTAATCTTGTGCTAACAAAGATCTGAGCATGTTTGTTAAGTATTCAACATTTTACACCTTCAGAGCATTTTAAAGACATTAGTTTTGTCTTTGCTGCAGAAAACCAAACTCTATCACTGAAAACTACCCTATGTACCACAGAGTAATGTGGCACTTTTTTTTTCTTCTCACCTAAACTAGTTATTAGCACTTTCTTTGAAGTAGTTTATCTTGCAACCAAATAAATTAGCATACAGAAAACAGCTAAGCAAGGATAGAAAAACAGAGTTAAAGGACAATCTGCGAATGTTGTGTTAGGTTCATAATTGTCACTGGTTTTTTTGTTTGTTTTGTTTTTTACTTCTGAAAATGTCTGCCAAGAAATTCAAGACTGAAATTTCATCTGATCTGATGGGAAAAAACTCTTCCATATTCTAAACATGACCTCCAATCACAACATAAATTATACCCTTTGTAAATAAACATAGCCACAAGTCAGTAGAAACATAAAAAAAATCATTATGCCCCAGAACTGGGCTGCCAACATTTAATGATGGTGGTGCAAAGAGCGTGGATTTACATCCACATTCTGTAGAAACAAAAGGAGCTCCTTTTGCTCCCGAGTGTTTTCAGGACAGTATAGGTGCAACTCCCTACCCTCACCCTGATCTCTGGCAAGTGGAAAAGACAAGCCCTGTTGGAGTAAGAGAAAGTAATCACTTCCATTACAAACTACAACATTATCCTGGCTGTGCAACATGGAGTTGGACTGACACTGATAGAGGCACCTGTACAACATAACGTTATAGAATCACACAGAATTTCTAGGTTGGAAGAGACCTCAAGATCATCGAGTCCAACCTCTGACCTAACTCCAACAGTTCCCACCAAACCATATCCCTAAGCTCTTCATCTAAACGTCTTTTAAAGACTTCCAGGGATTGTGATTCCACCACCTCCCTGGGCAGCCTGTTCCAGTGTCTAACAATCCTTTCAGTAAAGAAGCTCTTCCAAACATCTAACCTAAAACTCCCCTGGCGCAACTTTAGCCCATTCCCCCTCGTCCTGTCACCAGGCACGTGGGAGAACAGGCCAACCCCCACCTCTCTACAGCCTCCTTTAAGGTATCTGTAGAGAGCAATAAGGTCGCCCCTGAGCCTCCTCTTCTCCAGGCTGAACAAGCCCAACTCCCTCAGCCGCTCCTCATAGGACTTGTTCTCCAGGCCCCTCACCAGCTTCGTCGCCCTTCTCTGGACCCGCTCAAGCACCTCGATGTCCTTCTTGTAGCGAGGGGCCCAAAACTGAACACAGTACTCGAGGTGTGGCCTCACCAGAGCCAAGTACAGGGGGACAATCACCTCCCTAGCCCTGCTGGTCACACTGTTTCTGATACAAGCCAGGATGCTGTTGGCCTTCTTGGCCACCTGAGCACACTGCTGGCTCATATTCAGCCGACTGTCCACCATCACTCCCAGGTCCTTCTCTGCCTGGCAGCTCTCCAACCACTCATCTCCCAGCCTGTAGCTCTGCACCCTCATTGCCAGCAAAGGGAAGTAGAGCTGGCTTTCAACATATTACTTTGTACCACAAATTGTTCATTTTTATGTTCCAGTCTCTCACAGTGTCCTTCAGTGTCTAACTCTGTCCACTCAGGCTAGACTTTTGTCCATCAGCTCTTACGAATTTAGGTATTCTTCATCAACAGGGATGTTCACTAGAACATGGTTGAAAGACACACCTGTGGAGCTATAAAACATTCTGCTTCTAACTTACACAGTTCAATCCCTGACCCGAAATGGCTGACTGTAGGCCTCACACTCCTGGGAGGTCCAGATCCATGCCCAGAGCACATCCTGCAGCCTCACTGGCAATTTGCACCTTCTCATCAGTGGTGCACATACGAGTGATTAGCAACAAGACCAGCCACTTCCTGCTGCGATCCACAGCTCAGATAATCGAACCACACTGCAGCTGCTCATTTTGTTTATTGAATATTTATAGAAAGAGGAACACTTCTGAAACACAGCCACACAGATGCTTTCCTCTGCAAACAGGCACTAGAGGACAGATGGGAGACCTGAAGTCCTTTTCCCCCTGGAGAACACAGGGTGTAGACCGACCTCAGGTTCCACTTCACGCTCACACAAATACTCAAATCACCACTGCAAAGCCAAGTGCTGAGCATCTTCAAAGTGCCTGCTCACTGGCCAACAGCAGGAGGAAAGTAAACGAAGCAGACGAAACTAAATCTAGTATCCAATGCATTTCCCTCAACACCGAGAAGGTGCTGTATCAAAACAAGATGTAATGCATGCAGTACAAGCTGCCTTTCCCTCAGCACTGATTAACCTCCTAAAGGCATATGGCACCTGATTAATACCAAGACAGCTGCATGGAGATGTACTGTTTTAAGTAAATGCATTTGATTCATTGTTTCCTAGTATTCATAAGAACAGGACAGCAGAAAACAAAAAGAATTTGTGGAAATGCAGACTCATTCATTCTGTCCCAGTTATTTTTTCCACATACCTTAGATATCCACAGTAATGTGTGAATTGGTAATATTTGCAAAAAACATTTTTGAGGTACAAAGGGGAATTAGCTCTCTGACTCTTATTTGTGCCTTTGAAATGTCCTCTTTTACTAATTCTGCATTTTTTCCAGCACCTTTAACCCAAATATCAAAGCAATCTGCAGACATTAGCTAAGTCTTTTTCTTTTTATTAGACACATGGGCAACCTGAGTTACAGAAAGAGCAAAGCTCAAATGAGCTAAGTAATTTCAGAGTTAAGCTGTCTTGAAAAAAGACCGCATGTGCCTCTCAAGGGCAATAGACTTAACAAGTGCATCCTGAAAGAGTGGCCCTTGTAACTGTCCTGGCCAGATTTCCAAAAGGTGTGGAATAGTAAAGTCACAGGGAGGTCAAGTCACTGGGCTGGTGGAAAAAACTAACATCATCCCTGTTTGCAGCATGAGTCAGTAACATGTCTGGAAGCAGAACTGCAAACATCATTCCAGACCTGCAACCTACCATAGCTCCGTGCTTCAACCATACACAGCACCCTGCCCACACAGGAGTGTGAATGCATGAGGTCACACATGTTTCTCCAGTCTTTTTGAGGCTCTTAAGAGTCACACTTCCACAAGATACCTCTTGTCTTCATACCAGTGAAAACAGATTGTTTGAGGATGTTTTTTTATCTTCACAACTCCGCAGCCACGTGGTGCTTTTCCTACAGGATCCATCAAACAAAGTATGGCTGGTATCTCATGCTCTTAAGGTTATGCAACCAGATACTCTGCTAATAGAACTTCTTCTGAAAAAGTTTCGTAACCAGTCAGTTAAATATTTCCCTTTGCATTAAGGCAAAGAATAGATGGTTCAATGGCAGGGTTGTTCAAGCAACAGCCTGGGAGGCAGGATAGGTAGTAGAGGGAGCAGAACGAGGATGAACCTCGTTGTGTGTACTTGAGCCTTGCTGCAGTTTAGTCTACTAGTAAAAGAGGCTAAGTCAATACACATTTGTTGTGGTCCTTTGAGATTATTGGTGATGAGTGCTAGGAAAGAGTTTGGCATTACTGCATTCCAGATTCACCATGTGCCAAGGGACTCTAGAAACACTTAAACCCACAAAGAATCAAATGCTCAGCCCCAAACACCTAGCATCTACAAACAACTTCAAAATAGCAGATCCCTAATATTTCGCCAGTAGCCACAACACAGCAGATAAAACTAATGGCTTCTTGCCTGCTGTGAGTTTTTGAAAGGCTTTCTTTAGCTCACAGTGAGTCAGGGAAGTTTCACCATGAAATCTCACCTTGATTACAGGAGGTCAGTCTTCACAGAGTTTACTCCAGGGGTTGCTCCAGTGGCTGGTGCTCCAACAGTACCACTGAGACAACCACCCAGGACCACTGAGACCACAGAATGCTTTCAGCTGCCTAATCTAGTAGGGACTGATATATATATGCTTAAGAACCAAGACAAGGTACATTTTTGTTCTCTTTGTACTAGGAAAGTACAGAATACTAAATATCCACGTGCTGAGAAAACCTCAGATCAAACCATCCTGTCTAAAAAAGGCAAGGTAACTTACAAGCTATATTGGTCATGACTACATAGTGGAAGTGTACAGCACAGCTGACCAGACTCCTGAAGCTACTACACACTGATTTCACATTGAAGAACTGACTTTACAGACAAAACCTAAACAATTACAAAACTCTGGTTAGGAATGCAAGTTGTTCATACTACTGGGTTTTAAATATACATCTATATCCAAATCATAAAATTAATTTGTAGTCACCTTTAAATAATAGCTAAAAAAAAAAGTCTAACAGTTGAGGATGAGTGACGTAACACTTAAAAAAAACTTCACACCTTTGCTCAATGTACACCCCTCCTAAACTCTGAAACAGTGACCTTCATTACAAAAGTTCTCCAGCTTGCACACTAACAGTCCTGTCCCTTTATCAAGTCTCCTCTGATGGCACACACACAAGATATATATTTTCACAGAAATTAAAATAAAATACACAAGAAAGCATTGTAAGCAAACCCATATGTTATCCCAGTGATATGACATTGAAATAACTGGATTGAATGGTATGCCAAAATCATTTTTTTTATTT